TAACATAGCTTGAGATGTCATCAGATAGTTGGTAAGGCATGCCTGTATTTCAGTATGCAAACTACAGAAATGTGTGTCCTGTGTAATTGCAGTTCCTTGGCTCCTTGACTCAGAATAGTCATCCCTAAAGAATGTGAACTGATAGATTAACACTGGGAAGGGAGGTGTCTAGTAGAAAACAACCAGGAAAAACCTTAGGTTATCTATTGGTATTTAAACAAAGTTGTGGAAGATGGAATGGTAGAAGGTTGGCTTATTAGCACCACCAACATTTGAGTCAGGCAATGTGCTCATCAAAGAGCTAAAGGTATCCTTAAACATGCTGTGGAACTGGGAGTGTTTGGGACTGGAAGTAGGCCGCCGGAGTGTGCATTCTCATAGGTTGTCAGGATGAGTGTTGTACAGGATTTTCCATTTTAAAAGGGCATGGACAAATGTGTGTTGAAATGAGTGAGAGGGTACATGCTGTTTTACAACTCAGAAGAGGATACTTAGATATAGAACTGTTCAAGTATTTTTAAGGCCACCATAAGAATGAGGCATTTGATCTATTTTTTTGAGCTTTGGAGTGTGGGCAAGTGAGAGAAATTTTAGGAATGGTTTTGATTCAATAAAATTTGTAAACTAATAACTACAGAGATGTCTAACACAAGTTGTCTTGATATTGCGGGGGGATATTTTGGGGTTATTGTGGTGGGAAATTTTATACTAGGTGATTAAACAAATGACTCTGAACTTTTAGTTCTCTGAACCGTTCTTGTAGGTTGATAGAGGTAATGGAGAGATGAGCTGATATTTGAGCATTATCCTGTAATGTTTGATACAACAGAAGTCTATATAGTTGACCCTTGAACAGTGCAAGGAGTTGGGGCACTGACTCCCCTCATGGAAAATCCATGTATAACTTTTGACTCCCCCAAACCTTAATTACTAATAGTCTGCTGTTGACTGGAAACCTTACTAGTAATATCAACAATTAACGTGTACTCTATGTCATATGTATTATATACTGTATTACAATAAAAGCCAGAGAAAAAATGTCAAAGAAAATCTTATATAAATGTCAGTAAGAAAATCTTTGTTAGAACAAACCATGTTCTTAAAGGGTCAGCTATATAAAACTTATTAATTATGAAGAGTTTCTTTGCTTCATAAATAAACACCTGTAAACCCACCACTTAGGAAGGAACTAAAGCACTGCCCGTACCCATGATGCATTTCTGTAATATTTTGGCCATGATTAGATCAACTTGATAGGAAAACATTAACAAAAATTTCTGGTTACCAGGACTTAGGACTGAAAGCTTTGGAGATAAAACTGTTTAAAACCCGGGGTTACAAGGGAGAAAATAATACCTGGGGTTCTTGCATACTGAGGTTGGAAAACAATGGATTCGGTTGAGTTACTCAGTTATCCACCTCTCATTAGTGAGGTACAGGTACAGAGAGGTTAAGAGATTTGTCTAAAATCACATAAACAGTTACTCTTAGAACTGGAATAAGAACGTTTTTCTTTTTTTAAAAATTTTTTTAATGTTTATTTTTTTAATTTTTGAGAGAGAGACAGAGTGTGAGTAGGGGAGGTGCAGAGAGAGAAGGACACAGAATCTGAAGCAGGCTCCAGGCTCCGAGCTGTCAACACAGAGCCCAACACGGTGCTTAAACCCATAGACTGTGAGGTCATGACCTGAGCCGAAGTCAGATGCTTAAGCAACTGAGCCACCCAGGTGGCTTTTTTTTTTTTTTTTTTTTGAGATTTATTTTTTGAGTAATCTCTACACCCATCATGGGGCTTGAACTTAAAACCCTAAGATCAAGAGTCGCACACTCTGTACTACTAACTGAGCCCCAGAACTTGCTTTGACTTGAGTGTTGTAAGTAACGTGCCAAGAAGTGCTTGTGGTTTCCTGGCTAGAAAGGTGCTGTTGATAGAGGCAGTTAATAAGTACTCAGCTGGTTAGACCCCACAGTGAGTGAGATTGTAAGATGCTTGAGAACTAGGACTTAAGTCATCTTTTCATTCCCATCAGTACAGTGTTACATATAAAATGTGTGTTCTGTTGTTAAATTGAGTATAAGATATCTTAGAGACTTAAAGAAACATGGTAGAAAGACTTTGTATCTTAAGTAGAATTTGTAATTATGTTGGTTGTATCTTTGCTTCACTTTGTGTCATTGGGATACAGAGTTTCTTTCCTCTGGACGTCTTTGTTGACCTTAAAAGCCTGTGGCAGAGTTGATGATCCTGCTTTTGTGTCTCCACCGTCTCTCATCTGTACCTCTTCCTGTTCTTCTTTGGAGTATCTATTTGTTTATATGCCTCCCATAGGAGAGTAACTTCTTGGAAAGCTTGGAACCATGACTTGTTTAACTTTAATGCCTTAGAACCTAGTTCATTCACCCACCCATCTACCAAGACCACTGAGTACTGATTGAGGGCCCTGTTGTCCAGGCACTGTTGACGGAGCTGGGGTGACAGTGGGTAGCAGAGTCTCGTGAAATTTTGAGCTGTTAATCAGAGAATCACACAGATGTTTATAGAAATACAATTTAAATGGTAGATGTGTTTTCTTCTATTTTATCATCTAATTGGATATGTGAAGGTCAGTGATTATCCTATATTTATGTATTTTTTTATTTAGTCATTTTATGTGAATTTTCTTATAATTGATTCTCTTGGTTTATCTAAGTTTGATAAATTTGTTTACCTGGAATTAATGTTGTTTTCATCTTTAGTCTTTTGTATTATTATGGTTATAGATTTTTAAATATTGAACTCTTCTTGCATTTATTGTATAAATTCCACTTCCTTGGTGGATTATTTATTTAATCTGTAGTCTTTATGCTGTCGTTAGGATTTTTATATCAGTGTTATTAATTAACATAACAAGAATTAGGCAGTTTCTGAAGAGGAAATTTAAATGTAACAAATTAATATTGAAAGTGCTTTAATATAGAGACCTGAACTAAAGAATATATGCATACTTTTAATTAAATTTCCCTGATGTCTTTTGGTTAATTACTTGCTGTAATTATGTAAACAGTTGTTTATGTTTAAATTATTATTTAGTGGTTGAAAACATGGAGAATTGCTATCGCATGTGATACAGAATCAATACAAGTTTGATACTGGGCATGTTTAGTAGGAAAGATTTCATTATTAAACCAGAAATATGGAAAAAGAACTTAAAGAATAATGTCTTGCCTTTATAATGTAGTTAAATCCAAGGTGCATTCTTTTGATTTTTAAAAAACTTCATTTGCTGGTCAGAGATGCACATTTGGTAAGCTTTGACAAGCAAATTGTTATTTAAGAGATAAGATGGTTATAAAAATGAATGTTGCCATCATTGAAGCAGAAAATGTATTGTAATACAGTATTTTCACTGATTTAAGACTATATGACTGGATAAGAACACCTTTGATGTGCCTTTTTGCTATGTTGGATTTTATTTAATAAAGAGATAAAAATAACTAGTTAAGAAAATTAAAGTGTGCATTCATATTTCATAGTTCCTTAATCACAGTAGATTAAAATTTCCATGTTTGGAAGGTGTACAAAATACATTATAAAAGTAAAAGCCATTTTAGTTTTAAATTTTAATGGACACAAGCCTTTCCCCCAAGGAGGACACAGTCTGTAGCGTGGAGAGACCGTTACGGAGGCATCCAGCTAATTTAGTAGTAACAACCCTTATTAGACCATATGTGCCGATGGGCAGGGACCTGTCCTCTAACATGTCATCGTGGAAGCTTAATAAAGAATTCTTGAAAGAATTCATTTCTTTGTTCAAGTCTTGATTCATTTAAATAGATTTCTTATGCTTTTTCGTATAAGAAGTATATTTGTATCTGGAAACTTTTTTAAACGGTCATTGACCAGGGCGCCTGGGTGGGTCTGTCGATTAAGTATACGACTCTTGACTTTGTCCCAGGTCATGGTCTCACAGTTTGTGGGTTCAAGGCCTGTGTCGGGCTCTGGGCTGACAGTGCAGAGCCTGCTTGGGATTCTCTCCCTGCTCCTTGCCCACTTGTGCACGTACTTGTTCTTGCTCGCTCATGCTCTCTGTCTCCCAGAAGAAACTTTTTTCAAAAAAAGTCATTGACCCTAGGTATTTCTGCCTTCTTTCTTATATTTCACTCATTAATGCAATGTAGTTTGATCTCTTTTAACCATCTTTTCCTTGAAACTTCTCTGATCACCAGTGGCCTAGTGTTCAAATCCAAGGTACCCTTTTTTGCTCTTCACCTTCCCTGTTTTTTTGGTATTTGACACTGTTGACCACCTTGTCCTTGGTTCTGTTATTCTTCAGCCACGTTGACACCTCTCTTCCCTACTTTTCCTGTTCACCTCCATTTTTTGGTTTGGATCTTTTTTTCTTTACTCCTTAAATGTTGCTTTTCCTGGGATTCAGTCAGTCCATCCATCTCCTTAATATCCTCTCTAAGACATCTCTTCTGTTCCTGTAGCCTTAACTAATATTTGTGTATCAAGCTTAGAATTCTGCTGAACCTAAAATCTGTGTTATCTGTTGGACATCTGTTTATCCAGAGACCTAAATAGCTTAGTTCAGTTTAAATCTCATTCAAACAGGTTAGTTCTGAAGTATAAAAGAGCCTTTGGTATTAGTTTTGTGTGAGAGACATTCTTATTTGACTAAAGTTCTCATTTGGAACGAATGGCCTCATTTAGGTATGGAGAAATTAGGTAAAATAGGTTTATCTCATAGTGGTTAAGAGCTTGGTTGGGCTCTTAAGTTAATTTAAGTAAAATACATTGTTTCATTGATATGAATTTGATTCCTGGTAGAAATTGATTAAGGCTATTGTTCTGTTAAACATAGATTTAATCCAGGGAATGATAGAATAGGTTAACAGTTCTTTACTCTTTAACACGTTATCAGTGAAACCCTCCCCTACCTTCTTTTTATAATTTTTTTTTCCTGGACTAGCAAGAATATTTTTTTGTCTAACACATTTAAAATTTTTACTTTTAACAGAAATTAGCAGAGTACGGAAAGACATGTACAATGACACATTAAATGGCAGTACAGAGAAAAGGAGTGCAGAATTGCCTGACGCTGTGGGACCTATTGTTCAGTTACAAGAGAAACTTTATGTGCCTGTAAAAGAATATCCAGATGTAAGTATATTTTGTTGTTTTATTCAATTTTTTTTTTCTGTTTCACATACTATGGGAAGGGATATATCTGGTGGTAAATACTTACGCATTGTCGCTGCTTTAAAACAAAAAGGCCCTGTGAGGGACTAGAGGTGAGAATAATTTGGCATGGACCATTTAAAAACATTTTTAACATATGTTTTCTTGTAAGTGCTGTTATTGTCACCTTTGAAAATGCACATGGTAAGGACTTGGTTTAGATTTCAAATCAAGGCCAGAAATATGGAAAGAGCTTTGGCCTTAACGTTACAGAGAGCATCAAATACTGTTCTTTCCTTATCTTAAACCTGAGCTCAGAGAAGCCACAGCCTGGGCCATGTCATCCTTTCACTAAAATGAGAGGTTGGTCTGTGACAGCTGAGGTTCCTTTCAGGTCTAAAATTTTTATGATAAGCACTCTTGATAATTTTTTTCTTGTGTTTTGTCTTTTTCATTCTTGTTTCTTACTCAACTCTACTCCATACACCTCTCATTGCAAGTAGCGTCCTTGTCCTGTACCAGTTAATGATATTTAGCTCCATACTCTTTGTGTTTGTTACAGAACCCTACGTCATATGGTTCTTTCTATCTCTCTGACTTCATCTTAAGTGGTTTTTCCTCTTCCTCAATGTACTGTAGCCACGTTGGCTGTTAGAACAAGTCAGGTCTATTCTCAGCCTAAATACCTTTAGGTTAGCTGTCTGCTGATTAAGATTTTAGCTTAAATGTTACTTCAGAAAGGAAACCCCTCACCATTTTATCTAAAAGCAATCTGGTTACTCATTGTTTCACATAAATCTCTTTATTTTTCTGCAGCGGCACTTACAATCTGATATTTTTAAAGTTATTTTTCTGTTTCTCCCCATCAGAACAGTAGGTACTTAAAACAAGAGCCTGTGTTTTTGTTGTTTACCCTGAACTCCCAATATACATAGTATTTGTACAGATTGGCTCCAGTTATTGAATAAAAAACCAATTTGGTGGCATTTTGCAGGTTTCAGAGAGCTATTCTGCAAGAAGGAGTTGGTATTGTAAGGTCAAAATATGTATACTCTAAGACTCATTGATTATATGGCAAATATATTAGTCTAAAGATAGAAAATAAATGTCTTAAGTTGGATTACTGGAAAAAAGCTTTGAAATTTCACAAGTTACATTTCTTTCTTTGTTTCTTTTTTTTTTTTTTTTTATGTTTTATTTATTTTTGAGAGAGAGACCAAGTCGGTGTGAGCCAGGGAGGGACAAAGTGAGGGAAACTGAATGTGAATCAGGCTCCAGGCCCAGAGCTGTCAGCACAGAGTCTTGATGCGGGGCTTGAACTCATAGACTGTGAGATCATGACCTGAGTCAGAGTCGGATGCTTAATCGACTGAGCCACACAGGTGCCCCACAAGTTGCATTTCTAATACAGTTTCTTTAAGGCTAATACATTTACTTTGTTAAGTATTTTTGGTTGCACATATATAGACAATTTTGGATAATGTAGGCAAAGGGTTTGTTGGAAGATAATTCGGTGTATTACAGAGGATTAAAGGAAATAGCTGGAGAACAAAACCTCATGTAACAGAGGGGCCAAGGCAGCTTTGAGAAGCTCGACATTAGGAATTTGAACTTTGTCTTTGAGACCTTTGCTCTTAGCTGAATTTGGCTTCAGTGCTTACCAGACTTTATCTTCAAATTTCACAGGTTCCTAGGAGAGAAAGTGTATTTTGGACTAATCTGCCATGACTGGGGATGGGAGGTTAAATAACATAACCTAGACTTGGTCCGTCTGGTCCCGCCCTTGAGGGCTGGAAGGATTCTTAGAGATGGGAAGTTACGGTTTGGGCAGCGGTTCCAACTCGAGTCTCCAGCTCTTTGGTGTTTCAGTAGCTCATAAAGGATATCAGCCTTCTCATCTCATTGTTTAAACTCTAAAGGATAGAATTTCAACACTAGTCATTAACACAGAATATGTCAGATCATAATACTTTGTTAGCAAATATAACCTTGATATGCCTGGCCCCTATTCTTCTGGGGGGAAAAACCCAAAAACCTGTTTAGGGAAGGGATATTTATATTGCATTTTTAAAGGCATGTTTCATATAATCCTCTAAGTCAGAAGGGATATATTTTATAGTGTGAGTCTGGAGTCATCTTTTCACTCCATTTCTTTCTTCCACCAATTGTGGTTCATTGCCATGGTCAACTCCTGTTGTTGACAGGTGTCTTGCAGCAAAACATTGTTTAGGTCTGTGGATCTCAAAATGTGGTCCCTGGAGTGTAGTACCCCTACCTTATAAACATTCAAGCCTCACTCCAGTTTAGTTGAATCAGAAACTCCAGGGACAGGATGCGGCAATTTGCCTTCCAAGCCTTGTAGAAGATTCTGATGCATGTTAAAGTTTGAGGAGCACTGCTCTTATTTGTTTATCATCAGAATAAGCCACGCTAACAGGTGGCTCTTTTGCCAAGTGTTGTTCCAGGAGGCACATGTTGTGCACTGCACAGTGACCCCGCCCCTGTGGAGCAGACATTGCAGTGGCAGAGACAGACAGCAAAGGAATGTTTACTTTAGGTGCAGGCAGTGCTATGGGAAAAACAAGATGAGCTAAGCATCTAACTGATGACTGTGTACTTATAGTAAAAGTATCTATTCTGAGACAGAGGGAATGCAGAGATGTGAACGAAGTGATGGGGAGGAAGCCATAAAGATTATCTGGGAGAAGAACATTCCAGGGAGAGTGAGGAGCAAGTACAGTGACAGGCATGAGTGTGCCTGGGAAGTATGGTAAGATGGAAGATTAGAGAGTTAGCAGAGGGGCCGTGTCATGTAGGGGCTGTGGGACCCAGTAGGGATTTCAGACCCTTTTCTGACTGATTGAAGTGGGAAGCCAGTCAGATGTTTTGACCCAAGGAGTGCTGTGAACAGTTTGGTTTTAATAGATTCATTCTTGGGGCGCCTGGGTGGCTTAGTCAGTTTAGCATCCGACTTCAGCCCAAGTCATGATCTGCGGTTCGTGGGTTTGAGCCCCACATTGGGCTCTGTGCTGACAGCTCAGAGCCTGGAGCCTGTTTCAGATTCTGTGTCTCCCTCTCTTGCTGCCCTTTACCCGCTCATGCTTTGTCTCTCTCTGCCTCAAAAATAAATAAACTACAAAAAAATTAAAACTTGAACAAGGACTTAGAAATTCTTGGATCCCACATAGATTGTTAACTTAGAGCCGATAGCATTTGCTCATAGATTGTGTATCGAGTGTGAGGGAAAGTCAGGTAGATCTCAAAAGGTTTTGATCAGTTGGAGAAACAGAATCATTAGTTCCTGAGGTGGAAGGACTGAGGCAGGAGCCCGTTGGGGAGGTGGAGATTCAACAGTTCTGTAGAGGTGTTGGGTTTGAAGTTAGACATCCAGAAGTGGACATATCCGAGAGGCAGGTATGTGTATGAGTTGTAGATCACTGTGGACATTCCAGAATTTCTATTTTAACAGTGCTTTTTAAATGAGAAATTTAGTTATAATTCACAAGAGGAGAGAAATGGATATAAAACCATTGTGGTTCTCTAGATAATTTTTTAATACCCTAATTTTAATTTTGTTACACGAATTTAAGTTCTATTTATATAAGATTTCTATTATAAGAATTAATTAAATTTGTTACGAAAATTTAAGAATTTCTTTCTTTGAGGTTATTAATATATACCAAATGAGTAAGAACTGTTTTGTGATCTATATTAGGAACTTTATGCCAGCTTTTGGGAAAAAACAGTATCAAAGTAAAGCAGGGGAATGCGTCAGATTTTAGCAGTATGGGAAAAGATTGATTTCAGAATTATGAGTTCGATATTGGCCACAGTGAAACAAGTAAGTGTTCTTATTCTGGCAGTTTTTCACTTCGTATATCTTAGAGATCATGAATTATGCTTCTGTCCCATCCTTCCCATTTGTGTGGTAGCTTGATTTTGTGAGTGAACTCCTCCTGTTTGACTCACAAATTATTAAAGCTTTGAAGGGGCATGGGACGTAGTAGTCAGAGGATGGACTCAGACCCAGATTGCAGGCTGGTTCTGCTGGCTTTCTTTGTGACTTTGGGCAAGTTACTTGTCATGTACACCTCTATTTTCGCATCTCTAAGGAGATAGTAATTCTCTCACAGGTTTCTGAGGAGTTATAAGTGAGTTAATACATGTAGAACACTTGAAAAGTGCTGTAATGCTGCATAAGCATTACCCAGAATGCAGGATCTGTGAGGGTGCACATTTTGTCTCTGTATTCTCACTGCCTCGGACAGTGTCTGGTAAATGGCAGATGTACCCCAAATATCTGTTGTGCGTGACCATCTGAAAGCTGCACTCTTTCAAATACTATAAGCTTTTCTTTTAAACTTGGCCTTTGCATTTGCTTGCAGCAACTTACTTTATTGAAGTAAGTGTTAATTTGGAGGTATTGTTTTGCACTTGGTTATGTATAGCTCTGAGACTGATAGGAGAAAAAAGTTTTAGATTTAGTGTTTGAGAAATGAAATAGTGTGTTATAATGGTCTTCATAATGTTTTTGAATTAGTGGCTTAATGATGTGGGGAGGGGAAGGTAATACGAGTAGCATTGAAAATGAACTGAAAGTTTGTTCAGAATTGTAATATTTATATTTGTTAACAAAGCAGACTTTTATTGCATCTCTGTTGTGGACCAAGCACATCCTGGAGGTAGGGGTATTAATTCTGTTGAAAAAACTCTTTGACATAGTTGTATAATAGTGCGGTTTTGAGCCAGACAGGCCTCAGTTTTGAATCTTGGCTTTCCTCCCTTACTGGCTGTGTTTGTCAGCAGTTGTCACAATCATGCTCCAAAGTAAGCGACTCTCAGTAAAACTTACTGGCTTAAAATAACAAACATTGGTTTTAGTGCTCTTTAGCCTTTACCATATGGTGGCTGAGATTCTGCTGGCTGGGCTTGGCCCTTCTTGACCTAGGCCAGCCGCAGGTGGGTTCTTGCCTCTGTGTTCT